GTTTCCGATACATCAGTCTGGATTCCGCAAGAATCATAGTACTACAACTGCTTTGTTATATATAATTGATAACATAATCAGAAATTTGGATGATCGTATTGGTACAATATTGGTTATGCTTGATTTATCTAAAGCGTTTGATTCTGTGAACCACCGTATACTTTTGAGTAAGTTGAAGTACCTTGGTTTAGGTAATACTGCTCTTATGTTCTTTGACTCTTACTTGTCTAATCGAACGCAAAAGGTGAAAACCAGTAAAGGTGTATCTGTGCCCAATTATGTTCCTTCTGGAGTTCCACAGGGCTCGATCTTGGGACCTCTACTTTATTTGGTTTTCACGTTTGACTTGCATAACAGTGTTGAGCATTGCGCAATCCAAACTTATGCAGACGATACACAGTTAACATTTAATTTCGACTCTAGCAACTTCAATGAAATTTCTTATAAACTTAATGTCGACTTAGCTAATATTGATAATTTCTGCAAACGGCACTCACTGAAAATAAACCCTAGTAAATCGAATGCTATTGTCTTTAGTCCACATAATTTTCCAGTTAATGTTGTTGATCTAATCCAACTGTCTGTGAATCATACTGTCATACCCTTAGTTAACGAAGCAAAAAACCTGGGCGTTATTTTGGATAAAGACCTCCGTTTTAATCAGCACGTGAATGCCACCCTTAAATCCACATATATATCGTTAAAATTATTATATTCAAACCGGCACATTCTTAATTTCAAAACGCGGAAAAAACTTGTTGAGAGTCTTGTTATGTCTAAAATATTTTATTCGCTGGTTCTTTATTATCCTTGTATTGATTATAACACTAAATATAGACTGCAGAAAATCCAAAACAGTTGTTGTCGGTTCGTATATGGCCTCAGAAGGTATGATCACGTATCGTCTAAGATAAAAGAGCTAAAATGGCTAAAACTTGATAAACACTATACTTTCTCTTTGGGTGTATTTGTCCATAAATTGATTTCCACAAGGTCACCCATTTATCTTATGGACAAACTTGTACCTCGTGGTCAAGTCATTTCTAGAGCCCTACGACATAACCATCTCTTCGGTATGCCATTCCAGAGAACATGTATATTTCGAAGATGTTTTACGTACAATGCTATCAGGACTTACAACTCTGTCAACCAGGTACTCAAGTCCAAAAGCTTACCTGTTTTTAAAATTAAATACAAATCTGCTCTTTTGGAATTGCCTTTTTAAAAATCCCTGATGATTAGCCGACTGATTTTGTAGCTTTTGTAAATTTTCCATGCTTTATACATTCTGTAATTGTTCTTTGTTTTCTTTTTATTTTTCTGTACTGTACTATTGTCCTTATTATTATTATTATTTTTTCACTTCGTTTTTGAGGTTAAGTGGTAGAGTAGCCATGTGGCTAAACTTCGCCTCAATTCGAATGTTTCAATAAAGACATTTATTATTATTATTATTATTATTATTATTATTATAATAGAGTTGAACAGTGACAATTAAACAGGGATAAAAGGGTAAGCTATATATTCTTGAAAAAAGTTTCCTCAATATATGCGAATGGGTATTCGATCAGTGCATGTTATCTGTTCTTAGATATTACGCTCAAACGGTGACTTTCATGATGGACAATGTTGACTAGTTATCTAAAGCACAAAGAGTAATGGAAAGGTAGATGCTGGATATCTGGCTTAAAGACAAAAAGGAAACTCGTAGGTAAGAGAGAAAACAAAATTGTATATGTGTATATCCAAGCATCTAGCAAAACTCGAATGGAGTTTCGCCGGTCATACTTTACGACGAAGAGATAATAAATGGAAAAAGCAAATTTGAAACTGGCGACGACTGGATCAGAAAAAATGTATGGTTAGAATAGCTGAGAAAATTTGGATGCAAATCGCACACAGACCAATGGAAATTAGTTCGGGAAGGCTATACCCGCAGGGTTATTACATAGAAAACCTATATAATATCAGAATAACCGATAAAATGTCAACCTTTCGATTTGATACCCGGTAGTGCGCAAGTAGTTCATTCCGCGCCTGCTACAGGTGACCATGAAGTGAACAACAGCTAGCGTCGATCTGACATCTTTTAGAAAAACCTACATACTGTCAAAAAAATCTTGCATAGTGTCAAAAGAACGGCCCTGTCGATATCCGAAGGTAGATCAGATTAGACTCTCCAGGCAGATTAAGAGCATTCCGTCACTCGTCAATTTTTTATTGGACTACGTCGTTTTTAGAAAGAACGTCATCTTGGTTCTGGCTCTAATTCACTTCATGTTCACGTGTAGGAGCTGTGAGTGTTGTCTAAGGCCCGTATCGTCAGTCGTCCCTACAATTGTAGGGCTCGTTTATGGCCTTCTTGGTTTCGATAATATTAACGTCTTCTTCGTTAACGCACATGTATGTCCTCCTTTTGATTTCCGACATCTGACAGTTTTGGCTGGAGGTTGTTTTGACGGTCAAGTCACATGACAGCAGAACCATAATTTTCTTGCAAATAATTATCGATCACTCAAAAATACCCCGCTACATTGAACAAATTCCACAACCTGTGGTATCTTCAAGAAATTGTTGAGTTAGGAAAAATAATGCACATGGATATATTATGCTATAATATATTTGTGTGTATGAAAGTCCAGAAGCTTACAGCCAAGCTTGATGGAGGTTGGTAAGTTACAAAACAAATCATTGCATATCCATATTATATACTTATCGCATTATTTTCAGGTGTGATTCATTATCACAGACTTTATGAGAAGTTGGTTCCTCAGTAAAATGCTATGTTTACTTTGGAAGGATAAGGAGGTGAATGATCTTTCTAAGAAGGAATTTACGCATCCAGGCATAGTTAGAAACAAAACGTGAATTTGATTTATGTGACCGATACGTGCTACACTGCAATTTGTTAATTAAAGCCTGGCATAAACCTGTACTTACGAACTTGAAGACAAGCTGTGCTAAACAAGTATGTATAATGTTTGAAGGTTCTGAAATTGAGTCCATGGTAAATTGACTATCATGATTTCAGGATATTAAAAAGAGCATGGGCATGTAGGAGCACCAATTATGAGACATTACAAGGTGTAAATGGGAAAATGGAGTTGCAGCAGGAAGTTAAATTCTTCATTACTTTGTACCATCATGGCAGAAAATTCCACAACTAATTACAAGAAAACTGTGGGAATCAATTCCCTGTATAAAAGTCCAGAAGCTTACAACCAAGCTGTTCTCTTGACGAAGGTTGGTAAGTTACAAAACAAATCATGGGATATTCATATTATATACTTATTGCATTATTTTCAGGTGTAATTCATTCAAACAGACTTTACAAGAAGTTGGTTCCTCCATGGATAACAAACATATCCCGAATGCAACTGCATTGTTGATGTCAAGATACCTGTTCACAAATCATTACTGGACTCTATGTGAAGTGTCAAGCTACAAATATGTACAATGTGTGTATGTGAAGATCGTAATTACCATTTATCATTGTTATTTCAGGATGCTTGAAATACCATATCCATGTAGGATTACCAAATACTAAAAGTTTTTAATTGATTTGGAACCCTAACTTAAAAGGGAAAATCTATCAAAAGTATGGCATTTGAAAGGAAATCATCTTCGGGTTGAAAAAGAAATATCAAGAGTTAAACTGGTTTGATATTTGAAACACTCATATCAAAAGCAGAGTTTGTTAGTTATGATAGAAACAGCAACAAAAATCTTTGGCTCAAAAGTGTGCATTTACCTCTTGTAACACTGGGAGCTGCAATTCAGTGTGTTTCCTAATTGTACACGAGTGACGAGGCATTTCTTTAATTTCCACCAGTGATGCTATTAAGGAATTTCACCTGCTTATTTTGACAGGCAGTAATGGTATGCCACTGATGTCTCTTTTATTAAAATGTTTAATCACATCTAAGCAAATTTAATCACTTGAATGCTTTCCAATCTGATGTAGGGTTTTCATAAAAACTGTCTCTGAATATTGTTAATATGACAATATCACCATGCAGCGAAATAGTTTCTATTTTTTGGGTGGAAATCATAGGTCTGACTAAAAAAAAATCTTTTCTAAAATACTGTTTATTTATACATAGTGACATTGTGATACTAACGATATTAGGATCATGCAAAGAAACAGTATTTTAATTTCATACAATTTGCTCAGAAATCACTGATGATTTTAAGAGAAATCAGTTGCCTACTATCATTGTGTGAAGTATTTGATTACTTAGGACAATTGTTGGCCAAAGGTGGTCAATAACGAAAAAAAGGTAATGATTTTCTAGCAATACTCCAACTTTATCATATATGTCATTCAGTTGAATGGCTAAGAAATCTCAAACACATGGCCTTAGCTTTGTGAAAATCGTCGAATAAAAATGTTGATTACAATATTCAAGAATGCACTTTATCGAGTTTCGTAAGACATTTCAGCTATCCAACATGCAACATTAACCATTCGAGAACCAATTGCCTAAGCATAACAAAGTTCATCTTGAGCTTCATAACTTTAAAACCCTTATGATTATACATACAGGCTTATGAATTCCTTAAACTAACAAATTCTACTGTAACAATATCGAACACAAAAGGCAAACTCGTGTGTTTTAAAATGGTGTGGTTACTACAGGATTCTCTTTTTTAGCGGTGCTAGGATACTTCCATGTGCCTGAATGTGTAAATTCCTTCTTATGATGATCATTTAGCTCTCTATCGTTCTTAGTTTACTTCTGTTGGCAATATCAGGATTAACTTTTTTGCAATATATCAATCCCTCACATTATTTTTACCAATGTTTACACCTTGATCACAATATAGGTTGGCTTTGGTTAAGCTGTCAATTCTAAATATTCAACTGTTCTGTGTTTGAATCGATTCTACGCTTTGCTTTTGCCCTGAGGCTCACTGCATCATTTTTCTTATTTCCAATCACATTGTTGTATTGTTTATCATGGTCAGCAGCTGAAGTTTTTATTTTTGACGAATATTTTTCTTTTGTAGTCTGCATTATCAACAGGAACTAAGAACCACAATTTATACACATAATATATATACACAGAACATTCAAATATTTGAAATTGACAGTTTGAAGTTTTGATATGATACATTTTCATGACAGCTTTCCATTATAAAAAACGTTTTCTGCTTATGTCAATATATATATATATATATATACAGGGTGACTTTGAAGTTGAGTCATTTATTTTCAGATAATGATTGTAGAAGGAAGATAAACCAAAATATGTGTGTAAAAATAAAAAAAAATAAAAAAAAAATTTACCTTGTTTTATAAAGTATCCTCCCGACAAGTATTTCAGTGCGGACCTGTAATTGATCGTGAGGTCTTGGAGCACCGGCATGCCGTCCCCATGTGAGGTCTTAAGTCACCTGATTCACGAGCCCGTTGTACTACATTAACAAAGGCACGAGCGGTTGGTTGCACTCGATTGGGAAACCGATCCGCATAAACATGTGCCATTTTTTATTTCGTTTGAGCCACGCAACAGACACCACTATTCACTCACGCGTTACCGACTGACACTGACTGTATACAACTGAATGAAATAATTGTAAAAACATCGTTCCAAATTCTTTCGCTTTTTTGTTTCCGATGCGATGAACCGATAAGGCGGATTATATCCGTTGTCGCCAAACACGAGCACATAATATTATTATTGAAACAGGGCGGTACTCAAACTTCCAAAGGGCTATAACTTTGTTACTTTAATTCTACCAGAAAAATGGTAAAGGAAAAAAACATTTCTTTTGATCAGATCTACTCACTGTTAAAATAAATGACTCAACTTCGAAGTCACATATATATATATATATATATATATATATGCCCACAAAGCTAATATTGTAAAACAAGGCGAGCACCTGAAATATCAGTCTTATTCAGTGTTTGACATTCCTTAAGCAGGGAATTGATTCCCAGTTTTCTTGTAATTAGTTGTGGAATTTTCTGCCATGATGGTATAAAGTAATGAAGAATTTAACTTCATGCTGCAACTCAATTTTCCCATTTACAGCTTGTAATGTCTCATATAATTAGTGCTCCTACATGCCCATGCTCTTTTTAATATCCTGAAATCATGATTGTCAATTTACCATGGACTCAGTTTCAGAACTTTTACACATTACACATACTTGCTTAGCACAGCTTGTCTTCAAGTTCGTAAGTGTTCATTCTTATCATTATGACTATGATCATACAGGTTTATGCCAGGCTTTAATTAACAAATTGCAGTGCAGCACATATCGGTCACATAAATCAAATTCACGTTTTGTTTCTGTAAGATTCCTTCAATTATGCCTGGATGCATAAATTCCTTCTTAGAAAGATCATTCACCTCCTTACCCTTCCAAAGTAAACATAGCATTTTACTGAGGAACCAACTTCTCGTAAAGTCTGTGATAATGAATCACACCTGAAAATAATGCGATAAGTATATAATATGGATATGCAATGATTTGTTTTGTAACTTACCAACCTCCATCAAGCTTGGTTGTAAGCTTCTGGACTTTCATACACACAAATATATTATAGTATGATATATCCATGTGCATTAATTTTCCTAACTCAACAATTTCTTGAAGATACCACATGTTGTGGAATTTGTTCAATGTAGCGAGGTATTTTTGAGTGATCGATAATTGTTTGCAAGAAAATTATAAATTATGGTTCTGCTGTCATGTGACTTGAACGTCAAAACAACCTCAAGCCAGAATTGTCAGATGTCGGAAATCAACAGGAGGACATACATGTGCGTTAACGAAGAAGACGTAATATTATCGAAATCAAGAAGGCCATAAACGAACCCTACAATTGTAGGGACGACTGACGATACGGGCCTAATGGTCATAAGGCTTGGGCTATATGGTTTGACTTTGATATAATGTAAGATCTGTTTCGGACATGGCACTGGCGAAAGCATTAATAGCTTCTATTGCCTAAACTGAGGTGATGATTCATTTAGTTTCTTTCTTTCAAACATATTTACTTGAGATCTATGGATAGCTAGAATTTAGTTGACTTTGTTAAGCAATGCTCTCTACTAATCACAATTCATTGAGGTTACATCCCTAGCAAATGATTCTTATTTTCATAAGCCTTTTGGTCGCAAAACCTACACGTCTCTGGATGCTTTCGACTTAGTTTTCAGTTACCTAACAGCAATCGAACCGTTTCCAGACCATCAATATAGTTCAAGCAAATGCTTTTGTTTATTTATTTACTTATTAAATGGACGAGTAAAATCCGCATTACAAACACAAAACAGTTTTGACTTAGGGAAATTGTACATACCTGTAGTATACATGTGTACATAGTACACAGTTATCAATGATATGATGCTTTAGAAATGCAGACCATTAGACACCAGAATCCAGATGCAATTTTATATTTTCTTCGTCACATCTTGTAAATGAGTATACTCTATAGACTATCTCGGCAGCTTGCAACCCACAAAGCATGTCAGTTGCAGTATCTTAGGCAACATGATGTTGAGCCATACCTCCATGAGTGGCACTCACAACGAGTAGTCGTCGAATGGGCTAGTGACTACTTAGTACACAAGTTGACATATCAGTTCTTAATGATATTGTATAGATTTTTTGGAATAATGAGAGAGAGTTCTATAGCCCCGAATCTACAAAATATCCTTATCCTCTTTATATCATCTATATTTTGATATCAAGCAATATGCGCTGATCTGCTGAAAGGACCGAGTGCCAATTGCAAATGATCTTCCCTGGAATACAAGAAATAATCGTCCTTAATATTAATTATGACACGCAAACACTTCTGGGACGAACATTCGTGCAAGCTCAGAACAGAAATTAAGCGTCTAGAATTACATTTGCAGGCAGCTATGTATATGAAAGAGACAACTATGATAAAATCGTCAGTGTATTTCTTTAAATTCGACATCAAAAGAGAAATTGTTTGGTTAACGAATAATTTAATTTAGTTAAACGATCTCATAGCCGGAGGAAGTTTGCTGCAAAGCTCTCTATTTTAAAATATTTACTATTGAAATTGAAAAGTCTCTCGCTCTCAGCTAAAGTAAACTTCTGAGAAGTTAAGAGATTAATTTCGAGTTTGAATAGTGGGCGGCATCAAGCATCTCTTTGGCAGAATTAACGCTAATTGGGGACCACTTCAATACTCTTCCGTTTTTAGGAAAATTTGGTTTCGTAAATATTCAAGCATAGCGATTTTGTTATTTATACCAATCCTCTTAAAAGTTTTCCATTTCTCGACAAAACCGCAAAAGAGTTAGGCGAATTCGCTTTACTCAGTTTAGCAGGAAATGATAATGTCTTACTACGTATACTATAACAACACAAAGGGCGACATTTTTGAACCATTTGGCTGGCCTTTTTCTGCCAGTAGCTCATTCGGTATTACACTGTGAAATAGTTTGTCACTGTTCTACCATGTTGTTAGTTAGTACAAGATATGCTCCATAGTTTCAGCCTGGAAATGCATTAATAAGAATCACACGTTTCATCATCCGTTTAAAATGGCGTCAGACCTGTCTATAGCGGAACTACTAAAGGCTTCTTCAGGCACATTGCTTCAAAATCCATACACCCTGGAAGCAAAGGGTTGGTCAAACCGGCCAATTCTGGTTATACGATGTAGAGATAGAGATATAGCGATTCCGTCTCAGCCTCAACGCACGGTGGTATTATGGAGAAGAGCTCCGAGGAACAAAGCACTTTATTATAGCGGTAGAAGAGTGCTAGGTCGCCGACACCTCGTCGGTGTAGTAGAGGCGCCAGCACCCCAAATTCGTGAATAGTGCTCAAGGCTGGATCTTATCGGGTCTTGTACCTAGAGAGGAGGATATTTGAAGAGAAGTATTTCCTACCCCTAAATATGAAACTAGTTTAGTGAATCCAAGAGTCCATTCTTCTGCTTACCTATTCAAGTACAGTGTGGTCAATTTACAATTGGAAAGCTACAATTTACTATTATTTAAACTAATATTCTCTACAGGCTTAGATTCTGTTTTTCTAGTGACCCTACAAAAGCGTTTGAAAGTCATTATCACCGTATGAAATACATTAACGCAGAGTTTCTCGCAAATCCCTTCAACTAATTCCCGACATTACTTGACAGCTCGAGATCCAACATTAGGTGCGAGTTCCGACTAGTTGTCGTGACAAATTGAATTCGAATCCCTTCCCTATTCAACAAAACCGCTGTCTTAGGGAGTCTCAGCAACTCTAAAACTTACACCTACCGCAGCTTAACGTATAATGAAATGGCACGTCTATCTCACTTTAAACTGCCTTACGCGGAGGATCGCAACTACAGGGTGGCTTAGAGAAAGGTGGCAGTATTTCTATAATAAAAATTATCTCCCAGTATAACAAAAAAAAGTTAGCATAAACATGGCTCCTTGAATATTTCATTGCCAATGTATAGGGCGTTGATGAGAGAGAATGAGGATAAAACAAGAATATTGTTAAAATCTCACTCTATTCGTCATTGTCAGTCAGAGCGGTCTGTAGGACCTTTGCTCTTGGTTGAAGTCTTGTAAGTCAGTAGGTCTGTCAGGTCTGGTTGCCCAGATACCAAACAAAGTCAGGGAGAAAGAAGGGAAGAAGGAGGGAGAGCGAAGATAAAATCTCACTATAATAACACAAAGTTACTTGTCATATACATTCAATGCAACTGTCAGTGTCAGACCTCACTGACTTCGGCTTTTATGTGCATTTTACCTGAAATATTCCTAAGATGTTTTCTCTAAAACCAGAGCGTCTGAGAAATCCCCCAAGACAAAAGTTTCAGGTGAATTGATTATCTTATCCAAAGACCTTCCAAAAAAGATAGTTGCGTAGAAAATATTTTTCTTTATCGATAAGATGCCAAAATTTACCAAATTCTATGCCTCCGGTGTACCCTGGAACACGAACATTTTTCTATGCACGAAATTTTAATACAGATTTCAGGACCTGAGGATTTTTTGTTGTAAATTTTGCATATACCTTCTACTTTAGTAATATTGCCATATTTAGACCGATTGCGTTTTTGGTAGCATAATGTTATCCTACTGATAAAAAGCAAAAATCTGATCAAATTGGAAGAGTGAGGATAGTGCGGCAGAAAAGTATATTTCGAAAGCTACGCATCCAATTGTAGAAAAAAGGTTTAAAAAAAATTTAGAGGAGGGAATATGATGGTGACCTTGACAATGACCTTGACCATGGGCTTCAAGGTCATTTTAAGATTAAGTGAACATTTTCAAATAGGAACTTGACTGTTTCTTTCAAGGCGATATGCTCTAGCAAATGTTCGACAGCACAGTTGTGACGCTTATAAGGACCTTTTAAATGTGATATTGACGACGACCTTTCAAAGCCAAGCCAACATCTTCATTAGAAGCCTCTTATCGTTCCAGTGGGAATGGAAAAGCAAACAACTTCACGACGGAATATCACCTTGTACTCAAACTCAAGGTGGTGCCAAGCTTTGATGCGACTTGGGGTTAAGCTCACATTCGGGAGTGAAATTTCCTGCTTTCTCCATTGCTTTTGGGAGTTCTGACTTGACTTTGGTGGTCATGGTCAAGGTCATTTTTAGGTGATTCCCATGAACTCCACAACCGTGCAGTCCAACATTTTTGCTAAAACAAATTATTTTTGATGCCTTGATTTGACGTTGAGATGTCCTTAGTCAAGGTCATGGCCAGCGCACCCTCCGGACTTCAAGTTTCCCCGCTTTCAAATTCCGGTGTGAAAAAAGGGGATCAGTTTGAAAATGCTAACTGGACTTCACGAGTAAAATAACCTCTAAGGTCGTAGACAAAGTCATTGCCCAGGTCAGGACCATTTTGTGTCCACGAAACCCTACAACTTTTGCTTGCAATTTTTTTTTTTTAGAATGTGCGGTTTTTCGAAATATTTAGGTGAGATGTTAAATTGGAGCACCCTGTATAGGAATTGATCTGTGTGATAGATACGGATAGGTGCATTTTTGTCCTTTCTATGTGCTTATTGCAGACATTGTAGGAGAAACGGCTTTACAATGCCATATTTGAATGTTCCCTATCCTTATCCAATTGATTCTACATCTAAAGACGCCTCAGTATCTAGACTACTCAGGCTTATTTTGTTTTAATATTAGTGTATTTTATCGACTTCAACAATCGGTTGATTTCAACATCTTGGAAATTGCCTGTCAGTATCACATGCTAACCTCTAGTGTCCTAGTCGGAATATTACATGATTTTGTCTATTTATCTATTTATTAAAATTAGGACGTCAAACAGAGAAAATCTCGAAAACGGACACCCACCATACTAAGCAATGCAATTTATAATGTACATATATGAAAATGCAATGGTTTACTACAGGGTTTGTCCGGAAAGTAATAGGACTGAGTCGATTTAAAAAAAATTATTGATCCAATCGTTACAATTCTTTAAAAACTTTCAAAATAGGCTCCTTCTGCGTCGATGCAGCGTTAGCTAGGAACGCCCTCTACCGAATCCAATTTACCGTAGTTCTTCAAATTCCTTTGCGTTCGTACGGGAGTTTAAACCAATATTAGTTCTGTAAAACGGAATATTGAAGTATGTACTGTGTCTAGGATTCACTCTTATCGATACATTTAAATTGATTTTCGATAAGAGATAGAAGCAGTTAATTTGATTGTTCAAGATTCTGTGAAGAAAACATAAATCAGATATTACTCTTCTCTTAGCCAGAGGTAAGATTTTGAAATGTACCATTATCAAGCTCAATTCTCCTTATGT